GCTCTCGGTTAATTAATAGTGTTTTTAGTGATGACGAAGAAAACATTGTTTAATTTATATTAATATGTATCACTTAAAAAAATTTTTATGAAGATATTTATCTTAATTATGAAAATATACTAGCATGTTTTTTTAATTTTTGGAACCTAACCCTCCTTTTCGTATTAGTTCTTTGTTTCGTATAACACGGATTCGCATAACACGGCAATTTTTTGGAACGTAACTACCGTGTTATATGGGGGTTACCTGTATATATTGAATATCATCTATATATAAATATATCAGCTTGAAAATATTGACATATTCTTTTTTGTTATTTTTAATGATCAGATTTTATAGGGTTGTCCCTTTTAAAAAATGTGAGAGAAATTTAAAGGACATTAATGGCATATTGGAGAAATGAAATAATTTTTATCACTTCTTTTTATTGGAACTCTTCCCTTTCTTTAAGTGGTTTTGTTCTTTCTCATATACTTCATTAAAAACGTAAGATAACTTACATTTAAAACAGCAATGTATTTTGAGAGGAAAAGGGAGAAACAAAATGACTTTGTTTATCTTGACCAACAACACACAGTAATCCCTATTGGCATAAAAATTAAATAATCCAAAAATAAAGTACTGTAAAATAAAGAGAACTGATTTTCAATAAAAGAAAAACATGGTACACTCTATCATAAGGTAATGTGTAGCAGATCTACCTTTGTTGATGAAGCCTACAAAAATTAGTATGATCTACCATACTAAAGATCAGTATTTAGTAGTGAAGTAGGATGTGAAAATTACCAGCATTGTCAATACTGGTAAATACCAAACCATCTGGTTTGGCATTGTCAATACTGGTAAATACCAGTTTTCATCAGTTTATAGTTGCAGTTTTTTCTATAGTGGAAGGTACTAAGAAAGTCTTTGTGAATACCATGTTCTGTTATACATACTCTTTTTATGTAATATAACAGTTAATAGATTAATATAACTACTACTATACATCCAAATGACTACTACACATCCAAGAATCATATTATAAATACACACCTCAGACACTCAGAAAACTGCTCACATAAAATATATTATGGCAGACTCGTAATCACAAGCAAAACAATACATCATAACAGATCAGATATCATATTCACTGACAATCAAAACAAAATCACATGCATCATACACATTGCTGTTGCACACACTCATAACATATTAAATATATATATTGAAAAAATTAGTAAAAACTCAGGACATGCCCATGAAGTAAAGTATCTGCAGAGACATCATACCACGTACATTTCACAAAAATCTCGAAACATCAGGGGTTCACAACAGCACATACAATACACTATAGAAGACTGCCACCATACTAAACCCATGTGACATAGTCAGAAAATTCTTAAACACAAATACATACATGAATAGCACACAAAAAAAAATAAAACAATCTTTTCTGTAGTTATGCCTTTAGTTCAGCATAGCACTAGACCAGGGGTCAGCAGGAGTGGCTCTTTGCATAGACGTTTGCGACTCTCTTAAAAGCATAATAACAAATGAAAATTTACAATCATGTATTCAATTAAAAATAAGTAGCTATTTGCCAGATATAGTAAAGCTATCAAAAGCAATGCATGGACACCGTTCTAATTAAATTTTTAAATAAAACATCTTGAACTTTTTTCCCTAAAAATCCATATCCTATACATATGTATATTACATATATGTGGCTCTCTGGTACTTTTGTTATCCTGTTTCCATGACAATTTGGCTCTTCTCACTTGACAAACTGCTGACCCCTGCACTAGACAATAGTGTAGGAAACACGCTATCAACACAATAATAATAATAATAATAATCATAGATAATGATGAAAAGAAAATGAGCCATTAAGAAAATTTAGAAAATAAATAATGGTGTTTCAGTAATAATATCTACTGGTATTTTCAAATTTTCAATTTGAATTTCAAACTGGCAGTCATTATCAAAACCAAGAAATTTCTCATCAATTTTCAAAACCAGTATTTATTGGTATTTAAATACCAGTTTCCATATCCTAGTATGAAGTTCTCTATTTCATTTTTTTATTATTTTAATTATTTTTACTTAAATTACCATATTTATTTACTTCTGTAGTTGCAAATGAGAGATTTGAAATTTCAGTTCAGCCTCATTAAGATTAGAATACAGGCTGGCAATTTTAGTACATTGTTTGCTACTTTAGCACCTAAATTTTGTTTTAATGCTTAAATTTTCACTTTTTGCTTTATTTAGCTCAAAAGTAACTCTCTTTTTTAAAAATAATTGTTAATGTGTACAATGGCATTTGTAGAAACTGCATCATCTTTAAAAAATGAATGTAATATTTGAGTTTCATACTAATTATTGTTGCTGCAATTATAATTTTTGTTTTGTATCAGAAAGTCTAGTAGACTACTGGCATTTATAGTTTAATAAAGTTTTTTGATGTTTTACAAATTTGGTGCAAGGGCCATTTCTTTGACATTTTGGACCTTGCAACATCAACAAGGCCTTAAAAATGATAAACTGGAATAAAATACCTGTCATGTTGAAAAATTGTCAAAACAGAGTTAAAATAAAAACCAGATTTATTGGAAATTGACTTGGTTTTGAAAATAGTGAGTCAAGTTGGGTATAAAATTGCCAATTCACATGTCAAATACAAATAAACAAAAGTCGTGCTAATTTATATTATAATTATACATTGTACATCAGTTAATTAATATAACTTATAAAGATCAAATGCTTTTAAAAGATTTTTAAAAAATTACCTTAATTGGTTCACTGAAAATGGGTTGGGGAGGTGTTTCGTGTATCTTCTCCAAAAGTTCAGCTCGTTGTCTTGCTTGCCTTTCCCGTAATACATCTCTTTCCAAACTACAAAAATAGAAAGAAATTTTTATATCTTTCTTGAAATCTTTAAAATTTATAATAATCAATAAAAATTTATGTAAGATATTTCAAATAATTTAATGCACATTATATTACAATTTCCTTTGGCATTATAATTTTCAATTGAAATTGGTCAATCTCTCTTTTGTACAACTCGCTCACTTATACAAATTTTATCATTGGTCCCTTTAGAATTATATAAGTGAGATATCACTGTACATTAATATCTCAATTTAATACTATATATATTATCAAACTATTGAAGAAACATGTTTATTACTTTTAAGATTACTCATTTCTTATATTATTTTAATTTGTATTCAATGCATTAAAATGAAATTTGGTAGCTCAAAAATTTTTTATTTATTAGTTTTACTTTTGAGATACGTTATTTATGATACAAGAACAAATTTTAAGCATTTAGTAAATTTAAATATAGAAGTGGTTCAGTGGAAAAGTGATAGAAATGACAAATAGTATAACTTGAACATGTTAGTGATAATATTTAACATTNGCTAAGATTAATAATGATTATAAACATGTTCAAAAATAAACATATATGAAGAAGTGAGTGGAAAAAATAGTATGAATGATGAAAAATTGTTCTTTATTAAAAATACAAAAAATAAAAGGATAATAAATGTCAGTATTATGCAAGTAAATAAATAAATAAATAAATAAATATATATATATTTATTTATTTATTTATTTATTTACTTGCATAATACTGACATTTATTATCCTTTTATTTTTTGTATTTTTAATAAAGAACAATTTTTCATCATTCATACTATTTTTTCCACTCACTTCTTCATATATGTTTATTTTTGAACATGTTTATAATCATTATTAATCTTAGCAAGAAGTAAACAAGATATTATTATAAATTAAGTTTTTAAATTTATCAAATATATTAACAACAACAGATGTGTCCAAACATAGCAATCAATGGTATTTCTGTACAAAGGTCTATAATCCCTATCTATATAGTTTATGTTGTAGTATGACCAAATAATTACTATTTGATTACAAGATAAACTTAAATAAAAATTTGTTAAAAAAGATCAAAAATGGTTTTAAAAAAATATATGTTAAAGTAAGTATCTATAACTACAACTAGAGAATTAAGTCAATTAAACACATACAATTGTACATTTTTAATTAATTTAATTGATAAGTACCTACTAAACAATTCATCCATCCTTTTCTTGAATTACATAATCTACTAAAATAATTTTATCAATATTCATCTAGTCATTTGCAATAGTCAATTATGCTCATTTCTAAACAAATTGATCATGTAAGAAGTAAGCATAATGCAATTAAAAATTTACTATCATAAAAAAATAATACAAATAAAAATGAGTGAGTTAACAGTAAAACATTCAACACCTTATAACACTGAGAAATATTTATTAACCCACAAACGTTTTCAGTCTAATGAAATAGGCCATCATCAGGTGATAAGTTATCGAACAACTTTGAAAATTGCGTTAAAACGGAACTTTCGAACATTGTTTTAACACAATTTTCAAAGTTGTTCGATAACTTATTACCTGATGATGGCCTATTTCATTAGGCTGAAAACGTTTGTGGGTTAATAAATATTTCTCAGCGTTATAAGGTGTTGAATGTTTTACTGTTTTAAAAGAAGCTGAGTTTGATATTTAATTTATTGAGTGAGTCAACTTCAATATTTATATTAACGAAGATGTTTATCATCTATTTAAACTGAAGAATTCTACTTTGATAAGAACTGTAAAGCATACTTTTCTTAAAAAAAGAGCTACTGTTAATGTTTTTTCATTATGATTTGCTTAACAATTACCAATTACCAGTAATAATAATTAACCATTTACATGCAAGATGCATTTTGAACTGCTTTTCTCCTCTTCAGTTGCTTTGTTAAACTCCAATAGACATTTCTTAAAATTATTTGTAATTTAAATTTTTTAATTTAATGTAGAAAAAGAACTTTTGGTATTTTTTTCTGTTATGCTATCTCATATCCAACCAAGATTTACAAAAAAGTTTTCCATTTTCCAAAAATATATATTTAAAACCTAATTCTTAAAATTTATAAAATGCTGTATAACATATTTAATATTTTTTCATTTTATTTTTTAAATTTTAGAAAATACTGTGTCATCTATTCCCTCACCTTTAATTAATGACACAAATCTTTGCTGGTAATGCCATTACCAATGAATAAACTCAAGTTTGTTTATTAGTTTATAAAAAGGATTTTAAGAAAATCTTTACATTGCTTAATCTTCAACTTGAAATCAACACATCATAGAAACAGATGCAACATGGGTCTAAGCTATCATAATAAAATAAATAAATAAATAAAATTTTACAGTGAAACCTCCATTAACAGACACTACTAAATAGCAGATATCTCTACTTAATGGACATTTTTACAATCCCCAGATCCTTCAAATTGGACATCTATTATATTCACCTCTAAATAGTGGACACACTAAATAATGCAACAGCTTTGTGGTGGCTAAAGTGTAATTTTTAATAAATCAGTTATTGAAAAAAGCAAAAATGTTTGAAAAATTACACCTATTCAATAACTACAAAATAGACAATCACTATCTCAATTTTTATTAGTCACTTAGACCATAAATGACATTATAAATGCAAGAATACTGAATACATTTCTTATTCCTTGACGTGACTAGCAAATCACCTTGTAACTTGACATTCAAACTCTCATGTCTGAACTAGAGTTTCTCAAATGGGATTCCGGGATCCCGGTTGTTTTTTTAACCCGGGAAATATCCCAGGAAATTTTTCTTATCCCGGGAAATCCCACAAATTTCTTGAAAATTCACTTTTTTTCTTATTTTGTGGTAAGGTTGAGGAATTTTGCAAATAGAAAGTATAATTAATTCATTCACTGTCAGAATACATTTGAGTTTATTAATTTTAAACCTACCTATTAGTTTTTTTAATTTTTGCTCGTTATGGCATGTCACAAATGGTCAATAATCAATACATAGCTTATTTGTGGCAGGACTCTGAAAATTCTTTACTTGTCAGAACCTGTAATATATGGAATAATTGTGCTTATGCTGTCTTAATTTTTAACCACGCTTCAATAAATGCGTAACGCCAGGTTATGCAAATTGGGCAAGATACAAACTAGTACGAAGTCTACAAGTATGAAGCTTTTTCTTCATAAACCTGATTATTAAAGCAAAACGAATTACTGAATTGTCAAGCTATACGCTTGATGCCGCTATTAAAGCAGCTGAGGTAGACAAATCAAGAATAATGGAGAACAAACGAAGTACTGTACTACAATCTCGAAAACGAACTCAAAATCTTCCAGGCTACAGGTGAAAAAACACATAATATCTGTCTTAACTGCATTAATCACGATTCCAATCACATCAATTGAATTGAAAAGGGCGTTCTCGGTAGCAAGACTTTTCATTACTAAAATAAGAATTAAAGTGAGTGATCGGAGTATTGACCATCTTTGCTTTTTAAAATCTTATAAAAGTCTACAATATTTTGTATTATATTTTATTTAAAAAACGAAAATTACCTTCTAAATTAGAAGTTTGATTTAAGTTTTTTTTTTAAATTTTTAACTCAATTCAAAGCATTTTTGTTGTTGTTGTATGCAGTTTCCAGCAAACTTTAATAAATTTTTTTCTATTTGTGAAAATTTCTACGTTANTATTGACCATCTTTGCTTTTTAAAATCTTATAAAAGTTTACAATATTTTGTATTATATTTTATTTAAAAAACGAAAATTACCTTCTAAGTTAGAAGTTTGATCTAAGTTCATTTTTTTTTAATTTTTAACTCAATTCAAAGCATTTGTTGTTGTTGTTGTTGTTGTATGCAGTTTCCAGCAAACTTTAATAAATTTTTTTCTATTTGTGAAAATTTCTACGTAATTCAAAGGTAATTTTTATTATATATCTTACACAGCATTATTAATATGATTTTGGAGGTTACAGAACTTTAAAATTACTTTAAAAAATGAAAAATAGTTATATCATTTGATTTCAAGATATTTTGTATACCTTAAAAATAATTAAATCTATCCCGGGATTTCCGGGAAACAGTTCACTTTTATCCCAAAATCCCGGGACAAGCAAAAGACCAGGAAATGAGAAACCCTAGTCTAAACTGACCTTTGTCCACCTTTGCATTCATAATAACAGTTTAATTTTTCTTTTTCATTATTTCTGCTGAGGTCATTTTTGATTAATTATTAATTCATCAAAAATGACCTCACCAAATGTTTATGTTTTGTTGTAATTTTTATGTTCCATTAAAGTATCCTACACAATCTGTTTTCTATTTAGAGTTCAATTAAAATGTAATTTTTACAGCTGAAAAGATAATTAATATAGTGTATATATATTAATTATGTATGCTATCTATACTTTTTAGTATTTTCACATTCTTTTAATATATATTTGATGTTTATGTAATTCATCATATTCTTCACTATATGATGACCACATTAAAATACAGTATGACTGTAGCTTGTACTGTATCTCTCAATAGCAGACACCTCTAAATAGTGGACAAACTTCTCTGTCCCAATGGTGTCCGATATTCAAAGGTTTTACTGTATATATAAATGAAAAGCATTGTTATAAAAGAAAAATTGTTAAATTTTTATAATTTTATTTTATAGCTTTTTTTCTAAAGACAAATAACAATAAAAATATTTAAGCTTTTTTCAGTTATGTTACTATTTCATTTAAGTTAGAAAGAACAGATCATAATTTATACAACCGAATATGTTAAAATTTTATTATAGGGCTTCTTGTAAAAATACGTAAAATGAAAACAGTTATTGATTTCTATTATAAAATTTTTCAATTTCAGTTCTTTATAAACAATAAACTTGATCCTAAAAGCAGCAATTATCATCAAAAATTAATACCTATTTTTTTTATGCTCATTGTACATTTAGTTTTTGTCATCAATCAATAAAGAGAGCAGACACAGACTAAATACAATTCTCTTATATATATATCCAACCAAGATTTACAAAAAAGTTTTCCATTTTCCAAAAATATATATTTAAAACCTAATTCTTAAAATTTATAAAATGCTGTATAACATATTTAATATTTTTTCATTTTATTTTTTAAATTTTAGAAAATACTGTGTCATCTATTCCCTCACCTTTAATTAATGACACAAATCTTTGCTGGTAATGCCATTACCAATGAATAAACTCAAGTTTGTTTATTAGTTTATAAAAAGGATTTTAAGAAAATCTTTACATTGCTTAATCTTCAACTTGAAATCAACACATCATAGAAACAGATGCAACATGGGTCTAAGCTATCATAATAAAATAAATAAATAAATAAAATTTTACAGTGAAACCTCCATTAACAGACACTACTAAATAGCAGATATCTCTACTTAATGGACATTTTTACAATCCCCAGATCCTTCAAATTGGACATCTATTATATTCACCTCTAAATAGTGGACACACTAAATAATGCAACAGCTTTGTGGTGGCTAAAGTGTAATTTTTAATAAATCAGTTATTNATATATATATATATAGATGTAATATTAATTATAACAATTGTTTCATTAATATTGCATATTAAACCATTTTTTATATTTCACATTAATAAAGCAATTGTTATAATCAATTACATCTATAAAACTATATTTAATGATTCTAATAATTACTATCACATCATAATCATTAAAAAATTGCTTAATGTAAATACAATGTAAATTTATAATTTCAGATTTTAACATATAAAAGTATACAGTTCATATAATATCTTAAACATTTTTGTCTATACATTATATAAAGATAAAAATAAATAGAATAATACCATAGAATAGAGAAATATTTATAACAAACGAAAGAATTACGAATGATAATGAAGGTTGTTTCTTTATTTTGTAATTTTTAAAATACACATTTTTCAATGAATGAGTTAACATAACGAAAAAATACAGAATCTAAGCTTATTAAAATAATAATGAGAATAAATAATATGTTCAAAGATGAATTATTCAAGTAACTTTGAAAGCATACTTATAAAAAAGAAAAGAAAATGCTACAAATCCTAAAAAATATATTATCTTTATAAGCTGGATTGTTAAAGTAGTGTAATATTAATTTTTTTTCTTAATTACAGAAAATGTAATCTTAAAATTAAACTAATTGTTTAAACAACAATATTCTGTTGTATTAATCACTTTTTAATATGTTACTATTTCTTGTTATATTACATAAATCAAAATAAAATTCTTAAGATGAACTAGATTCTCACTTCTAATATCACTATTCTTAATACTCTATAAAAGTAACACATTTCCCTAAAAACTACTGTTCATGTTAATTGATTTTTTTTTTTTGCCAAGTTTTTAAGTAATGTTTCAATATCACCCACAATTACAACAAAGTTAATTATTTAACTTTATTTGTAAATAACCTAAATGTTTTCAGAAAGATATAATTGATTTTATCAAAAAAGTTTTTTTATTTTATTTTCAAACAATTTAAACCCATTGTTTGAAAGTACTGTAAGGTCTCTTTTTATGCGGATTATTTTTATGCAATTTTGAAGTTGTGCGGTTTGTATTTCATCCAAAAATTTCTTGGACAAGCATACAAATAGGCTTGTTTAGGAAGCCCGCGTATAAACAGTCTCCAAAAATCATGGAACGCTCAAAGCTCACTCCATTTGTTCCACTGACATATAACGTTTATGGATGTAAAAGACAGCTAGATCTACCTTAATCGCTTTAGTTCCTAGCAATTTTTGATATAAGTGTAATTAAACATAAAAAATACTTAAAAGTGAAAAAAAAACGAAAGAAATGCGTTAATTTTGAAGAAAAAGCTTCAAAGTTTAATTAACTTCCTTTGTCTCGCCCTTCTGTGAAATTTAACACCGATGAGTCATTGTTTACTAGTGCTGTGCGATGCATCGATGTGACATCGATACATCGATGTTTTTGTTCGTCGATGCATCGACTTTCCGATGTTTTTGAAACATCGATCCTGAATCGATGTTAGCAATATGTGAATTTCGATTCATCGATGCATGCAGTTCATTCTTTGTTCCTAATGTTACCACCTGTTCGGTTTTCACCCGGACAGTCCGGGAATTTCGTAAAAATTGTGAAATTGCGATGAAACAAAGTTCTCGCAAATATGTTTACAAATTTACACTATTTTAACAGTGAATGAACTCACACTCATTGAAACTCATCCGCAACTCTGCCATGTTAGTCTGTTTACGCCGACTTGTGGCGCGCAACCTGTCGACTTTGAGGCCGGATGGCCAACGGTCAAGGTGGCAGCCTACCTCTCTGGGGGACCCGGGATCGAATCCGGACGGGTCAAGGAATCCCCAGGAATTTTTCGGGGGGGGGTCTGTTCGGATATGTCAGGCCCCGTCCCTCACCACCCGGTCGCCCCATTGTGGGCCTGGCCGAACCCATAATGGGCCTGCTATAAAAGGCCCTCTTAGTGCCCACAGGGCGGAAATAGTAAAAAAAAACCCTGTCGACTTTTTTTTTCATGTACGATCGTACACGTATCAAATAGAGCTAAGTTATCTGTACCTGTTCTTTCTTAATTTAGGTTACTTACGTTACTCCTACGCAAGTCCCTAGTCCCTAACTGTAACTGATTTAGAACCGGCATGCACGTTATTCTTCGCATTGTAAAATGACATTGCGCATGCGTCAGGAACTTCTGTTCGAACAAACCCGGTTTTGTTTTTTTTTTTAATTGTTTGAGTTTATCTTGATTGAACATCGATGTTCCAATGGGCATCGATCAAACATCGATGTGAAATCCGACATCGAAATTTAGCATCGATGCTTAGGCAAACATCGATGTTTGACATCGATGTTAAAATTATAGACATCGCACAGCACTGTTGTTTACACATCTGGATAACCTTGAACACAGCTGGAGT